ATTCAGATACCCAGACAAGCGAGCCTGTATGTGCATTAGCTGTTGTCCTGTCTGTGTTTCATCCCTAAACTGTAGACACAGGCGGCAGAGTCGGTGCGGAATGGGATGGGAATCATTAGTACAGTGCCCCACTCCGCCATGTTTGAACGAATATGCGACTTTGATTCAGAATTTTTAGCTTTAGCTCTAGCAATCGTGAACAGCTTGAGAGGAAAAAGCAAAAAGAATTTTCAGGAACAGAGGAAAACTGAGGAAGGATATATACCGCACGAACAGATCGGGATGCAGGATTGGATATTGAAGGACTAAGCAAAGAAAGGATGGAACCAAAAAAAAAAAAAAAATAAAGATGACCGTATAGCGAAACAGCAAAAGAGAAAAGTAACGTAAAAACTGGAAAGATAAAGCAAGAGAACATAGGATGTGGGATGCATTAAGTACAAAATGATTAAAAAATAAAAATGAAAATTTCAAACGGAATGTGCGTTTTCCACTCCATTTCGTACCGATTCTGCCGCCTGTGTTTACAGCTTAGGAATGAAACACAGAAAGGTTACCAGATTGCTGTACACATTTGAATTTTGGCTAAAATTTTGGTAATTTCCAGACCAATCCCCCATGCATGCGGGTTGCGATTTTTATGCGTTTTGTACTGTGTAACAGCAGTACAAAACGCATATTGTCACGGGGTTGTCTGTGTGTGTGTGTGTCCGTCCGCAGCAACTTGTCTCACTTTACAACACGTACGTGGGCAATCGCATAACGGAAAATTTGCGCTGCAAAATTATTAGTGAACATTTTATAATTAAAAACTAAAACTGAATGAATAAGGTGACCTGTAATGTCAGAGCTAGCACAGCATTCGTAGGAATAGCTTTGACCTGATGAAACAGTAGCACAGAAGGACTGGACTTAAATGTCATATGCAAAAAGGCATTTTACACGACACAGCTGTCTGTCTGTGTTTCATCCCTTAGCTGTAAACACTGACCGAACTCTTTGCATCCGCATAGGAACGAGAATCAACAGTACAGCTCCCTACCCACCAAGTAATGAACAGTCATGTAACTAATTTGCAAGACGGATATGCGAAAGAAAGAGAAATCAGAGAGACAGAGAGAGAGAGAATAAAAATGCATCCAAGGGAAATGGACATACGTTTCTTCGATAACATTATACATTGTATGTAACGTTACCGACTTCTATACTACGTGGGATACGACTCCTCATTTTGCTTAGAGCCTACAAAAATTAAACGTTTTACCTTTGTCCGAAACGCTTGACACAGAAGTCTCAGCAACATCATCACCATCATCACTTTCGGTAAACAACGGCGGATTAATCCTAAGAAAAAAACACATGATATATATTTCAAGAAACACAAAGCAACTTGAACTTCATTTTGAAAAAATGTCAAGTAATCCAGGAGGAAATCAGTCAAAGGACTAAGAGCGGAAAATTCAGCTAGAATGGGCAAAAATTCAACCAGGGAAGTGCCAAAACCACTGAGAAATTCTAAATTACACCGCAAAAAAAAAAATCCTAAAATCTTAATTTTCGGTATCGAGACGGTAAAAGGACCGATGCGGGTACGAATGAGTAAAGTATACTTGATACAAAAAACCCCCATATTCGGCAAAAAAAAAAAAGAAAAATCCCCATTTTGGCAGAAAAAAAACCCATTTTAGGGAATGCAATAACCAGTAAGTAGCGATTTCTGGTGAGAAAAAAACCGCGCACAAACACCTCAAAATGGGGGAGGATCAAAGAATATTTAAATTAATTTAACAAATTACCTCAGTCGGACTGGCTTTATAATATCGCACAAATTCACTTTTTCAAAATTTTCAATCATTTGCTCGATTTTTTCTTTTGCAACCGAATGCACGTTATGTCTGCAAGATTACTGCTAAATTTTACCAGAGAATCTCGCATTTTCCAAAAAAAAAAAAAAACCAAAAAAATAAACCATTATTTCACTGAAAAAGACAAAAAGCGCTGATAGTGATATAAATGAATTTATCAGTACCTGGCACATTGCTGTGCATTTGTTTTCCAACTCGTTTCGGGCTCAACAAAATATATTTCGTATGAATTCTTCACTGCCTGAAAAATCAAAAAAAAAAAAAATGATTTATAGGATAAGAAATAAAAATTTGTCTTACTAAATATCAATCTTATAACCAACAAAGAACTTTCATCATTAAAATAACTATGACGATTTTATTATGATTGTTATGATAATCATAGTAATTTTATGATTATTATAATAATTTTACTACTCTTACTAATTCCTTAATTCTTATTTTACAATTTTCGCTTCGATTCTCTTTCTTATTTCAATATACCTTTCTGTTAGGAGTGGCAAAATCAGAGACGAAATGATGTTAAACAAAAACTAAGGATATTTCGAAACACGTCTAAAGATTTGTTAAATGCTGTCTAGTCCACAATTGAAGTGTATGGTCCCTATCGGAAAAATCGCCGACAGGCTGACCACCAGGCGATAAAACAATCAGAAGATGCAAGCTGAACAGGTGCGATACTATGAATAATAAATAGTAACAATAATAATAAAATAATAAAAACAATAACAATAATAATGATAATAATAACAGCAGTTGGCAATAATAATATAATAATGATAATACAATAACATAAAAGTAATACAGCAGTAAAGTAATAAAATAATAGCAGCATAATAATATGACAATAGTACAACAATATAATAATGGCACAATAAGACAAT